AGAGCGTAGAAGAGTTGGCAAAAAAGGGAACATCGAGAAGTCAGAACCTTCATCTGAGACATGATGTCGTAGAGCTGACTCTTTGTCATCCCGGCTAGATTCGCCGGTAAACTGCCATCGCCGCCGACCTGTTTTGCCGCCATTGCCGTCTCACAGTTCCGGGACAACTGAACGAGTTTTGCGCTCTGCGGTGCAATGCAATGCGATACAGCAACCGGAGGGGAGTCCAACCAACCCGACCCGACCCGTACAGTCCCCGCCCAAACCAACCCGGCTCGTTTAGTTTCATAGGCCCAACTAAAATTTTAAAGCAAACTAAGACAGACCCACGTCTTGGCCCGTGATATACATAAATTCTAAAAACATTTAATAAAAATTTATTATAAAAAAATTATTAAATACATTCTATGTTTAGTATTTATTTTGACTTTTTGGGTAAGGAAAAAAAAACAAAGATTTGAGAAAAATGAATGAGTTTCTACATGTTTTTTTTGTCATTCATATTTGTTGATTTCTCGATTATACAACCACGGGTTTTTTTTGGGTAATCAGATGTTTTGAAACGAAATCCATACTAATTTTGAAACCGAAAACAAGTTATATGATTGAAATTACGATACTTCTCCAATTTAAAACTCGAGTTCGGAGCAGTACATATACTTTGTATATCCGTTTTTCCAGATAAACTATTCAAATTGAATTATACAACAACGAGTTGATAGATAGTTATAGATTATTCTTCGGAAACATTTCAACTTTAGTAGACTGCAATATAATCTTGAGGAATTGTAATGAAGTTATTTTGGCAGCTTTAGAATAAGTCATAATATAACAAAGAGCATAAATAGGTCTACTTCCATTAATCCGTCTTTCAGTTATATAAAATAATTAGTATACCTGTTTTGTTTTATATTTTTTTTTCTTTCAAAAAAGCATGTCACTAGAGTTGGTGTCTTTGAAAACAAAAAAAAAAGGTTCTCGTGTATACAAAATTTATATCGTACATCCATCGTATAATTATTGCCAAAAAAAAAAAAAAAGAGAAACAAAATCAAAGATGTAAAATTACGAGTACGTACGTACGAATATAACCATAAAGAACAGAACCTCTCACTCCAGACTAGGGGTAAAATAGTAATTTACTGCCATCGTTTAGAAGTGGAAGATTTGAGCAAACTAGAAGAGCTCCCCGTCTTCCTCAGCCCTGAAACTAACAGCAAACAAAGAGAAGTTGGAATCAAATCTCAAAACATTTTCCAGTTTTATGGCAAAAAAAAAAAAACTGAAATCTCACGAGCAGAATTAAGATTCTATTTCGGTTACTCGAGTGAAGATCCGAATTCGAATTGTAGAGAGTTGCTTGCTCACCTGGTGACAGGCTCCTCACGGTTTTTGCCAGAGCGGTTGTTTTTGTACCGACTTGACGTAGTTTATCGACTGGCCGTGTCGCTGTAGTTCTTGTCCCGAGTTTGGTCCTGACGCAAATTCCAAACGACAAAAAACAGAAAGAGAAGAAAATTCCGTTCTTCCTTAGCATCGATGAGCGAAACAATTTGGACTTTCAGTCGCTTGAAATTGTTCGTGCAATTGTGGCAATGAAACACCCTTACCTGTCGGAAACCTTGGAAAGTCTTCTCCCATCCATTGAACGAGCAACGTCCACTGATCCTTCGGTTCCGACGGAAGCGACGCCGTCGGATGCCTCGCTCATTCTCTCGTCGGATTCAACCTCAACAGAGCCTATGCTCTCGACATCGTTGACAGCTTGGTAGTCATCTTCGGCTTGTTCTAAGCTTTTCCTTCTCTGCGGGTTCTCCGGTTTCTTAGGGTATCCGTCTTTTATATCCCTCAGTAAATGAAGCCGCTCTATCTCGTCGTCTTTCTTCGCTATCGTGTCCTTAAGGGATGCTAACTGCATAGTTTTATTAACGACAAGACAGAGGATATGCCATCGTTAACGTTGATTTCGAAATCAAGTTATTGGTATACGAGTTCGGCAAATTTTAAAGCGAGAATTCATGAGACAAGACAACGAGTTTACCTGATCCATTAAGTCTCTAACATCTCTACCCTCTTTACTGCTCTTTGCGGCACCTAGCTCGACTCCAGAGACACGCTCTGCGAACTTCAAGGTGCTCATTGTTTCCGAATACGAAGTAACATCGGGATTGAGTTGCACGAACATAAGAGTCTTTGCTCTTCCACCTGTGGTTGACAAGTGAAGTTATGCCTAAAAAACATATGCAAATACGGAGCGATTTCGGTTAACGGAAACCGAACAGCAACTGTGATTACCGAGCGAGCTCTGGAGGAGCTGAGTTAGCTTGCTGTTTCTGTATGGTACATGAGCATTCTTCGAAGCGAGAGAAAATATCACGTCTCCGAGAGCGGAAAGTGACTTGTTTATATGTTGAGCTTCTCTCAGTCGATCTCCAGTGACTTCTGAGCGATCTACTCTCTCGCTTCCTGCTAGATCGACCAAATGCAGATTCCCATATAATGTAGAACCTGTCTTCAAATCCTTTCCACAGACATGAACAGTGACTATGCTGCAGTAGAACATTGAATTCCATATCAGAATTTAAGTTTTCCGGATAAATAATTTCATGCAACGAATTCAAGATTATCCGTCAAATAGACAGAGTCAAACTATCTATGTTACTTTTCCCGGATCTACCTATCTGAACATATCCTCCAGAAAAAGACGGTGGACAAAGCAAGAACACTATAGTTTCAGAGAAAAGAACCTGTGAGAGCGGCTACTTCTTTCATTCATCGCAGTGGAGCCAACGGCTCGATTGTTTAGTCCGATATCCATTAATTCAAGCACATCCGAGGTTGACAACACCGGATACATGCTTGCATCAGGCACAGCGAGACCGTTTTGTTGAGTTGTAGAAAGAATCCCTAGTGTGTGCAAATCAAGGAGAACAGAGTAATGGCAATACTAATGCATCTTAAAAAGAGAATATGAGCAACAGCACACGATATATGGGCAAACGGAAAGGATATTTCTTTTGAGAACGGTCATCGGACAGCAGATCGCGCACTTGTTCATTGTATATCTCCACCATCTGGACCCCGACTTCGTAAGTTATGGTGCTTTTACGGGATTGAGAGATGCTGAAGAGGTCGTTGAGAGCACGATAATTAACTCCCCATTCCTCTTCGGTTGCTCCATCAGGACCAGACTGAACGGAAAGATAACAGAGGTAAGATTCCATATGCATAAAATTTTTCCTATGTAATCATTGTCCAAAAAAAAAAGGCAACGAGGCCAGACCATGGTGTAAGTTTTTCCGGATCCTGTTTGACCATAAGCAAAAATACAAACGTTGTATCCATCGAGCACCGACCGTATCAGTGGTTTTACGTCGGAAAACACCTCAGCTGTAAGAATCCGCAAGATCAATAGGAAATGAGATCTAAATCAGCATATTTTTCATAAATTTCAACTTCTGCGACGATCATGTCAAGTAAGGCCACATATCTAATTGAAAACGGAAATGGAAATGACAAAAAGACACTTAAGCAGAAAGGGAAACCGTTGAACACCTTGGGTGGAAGCTGGACTGTAGACCTTATTGAACCTGAACTGTCGAAGACCATCTTTCCCGGGTCTTGTGGGATTGGTAACTACCAATTCCCCGTCCTTACCGATGTATTCTGTCACTGTATTTTGTTCACTCTGCCCAGGCAGGAACGGCCTTACCCTACAATATACTCTGATGTTTCCTGAAAAAGTAATTCTTCAGTCATAACTAGAGAACTGATAGAACATACTCTCAATAATTAAGAAATGTCAATATATTACATGATCTGCAGTACCTTTTAGCTCCTGAAGCTCGTTAAAGAGCTTTCGGTTTTCAGCCAGAACAGCGTGATAGTTTTCGGCCGCGTCTCCAAGTTCAATCAATTTCTTTCCTGCAGAGAAACATCTTTCCTACATAAACACCAACATTGACAGGGCCAGACGTTTCTAGCTTGCATGGAAGCATCTATATTTGAATTGCCTCACCTAATCTGTTGAACTCTTCTGAATAGTTCTCTTGAGCCTTTAATATTTCTTGCTTGATTGATTTAGAATAGGACCTCAGCTCCTGAAATTTTATCAGGCTTAGCCAAACTAGATTACATGATCATTGCTGCAAACAGTATCTATAAAACATTACCTGTAGCGCCTGGAACTGCAATTTGATAAAGCTTCTGAAGGAATGTTCTTTGTGACTCCAACTTTGATCTTTCGAGGCAGATTTTGCCTCAATTTCTTTCACTTTACCCTTCCAATGGACCAAATTTTGTTCAAGCTCTTGAATTTTCACTTCAAGGCTTGTATTAGCTGCGTTTGTTTCTTTTCCCATTTGTTCAAGCATTTTAACCTTCTCCTCAAGAGATTTCTTAGCGACGCTTGCTTCTTCTATCATCTTTTCAAGCTCTTTGACCCGTTCTCCGAGGGCAGTTTTAGCAGTGTTTGCCTCTTTTCCCACTTGTTCAAGCTCCTTTAGCCTTTCCTCAAGTCCTGTCGTAGCAACCTTTGTTTGGCTTTCTGTTTCTGAGCATTGCTGTTCATAAGCTTTTCGAGTCACCTCCAATTCTTGCCTTAAAGCAGCAATTTCATCGTTGTGTTGGTGATTTTCCTTCATTAGCTTAACCATATCTTCCTCTTCATTTTTCTTCTTTTCTTCCAACTTGAACTTTTCTGTCTATCATACACAAAATGGCATGCTAACCTTTTTCAGTAATGACAGAAGAATAGTACTTTCATGTCACTGCTCCCAAACATACATTTTTATCAGAAAAGCAACCCACAGTAAGCAGTTTTACGCGATTAAAATCGACAATGGAAAAAGACGTATTTCCCAGAACAACACCTTTATCTGCTGAAGCTGGTTCGTGGCAATCTGCCAAAATGTAAGTCCAAGGAAGAGACAAAACATTAGGAGATATCTTGATACAAGATCCTAGACAACCTCAGACCATAAACGCATTAACAATACCTCATTTTCTTCACGAGTTCCTGAAGCTAAGGCTTCAAGGACATTGATCCTTGACTGGTATTTCTCCTCCCGAGCTTTGAAAAGATTGTTTTGCTGTATAAAATTACAATTGTAAGCATAGCATACAATGCCAACAATTGAAATTGCTGCCAAAGGATTTTCTCCATGAAAACAACAAATACCGTTCTTAGATGCTCAGCCTGAGTTGATATACGCCGTTCAATTTCCTGCACGACTTTTCTCAGCAGACATGCCACACGCTGATCATCATAGATTATGTCAGAAGATTGCCCAAGTAGTAAGGGCATCAGAAAGATATGTACACCACAAAAATTTACATTTTGTTTTCACAGAAGCATTTAGTATTTCCAAGAATAGTTACTAATCAAATACCTGTGGAATTTCACCATTCTTTCGTTCGATACTTTCATCAAGGATTCCATTCACGACACTCAGAAGTGACTGCGTTGGAGCATTCTGCAAGTAAAAGAAGCTCAAGGTATTACGGAGTAGTTTGAACAGGGCACCATGGTTAAAAGAAAGGAAAAAGGGAGCAAAGCTGAGGAAATGCGGTATGGTCAGTACATCTAAGCTATTTGATTTCATCATTTCTGAAATCTTTGCAGCATGAAGGTCATATCGCCCCTGTTTCATTTGAAAAACCTCGTGGAATTTGTGCCCTCCTTGGTGCATTGATCCAGGGGATAAGGGATCTGCCATGTATAAAATGAAACCCAGAGCTTCAAATGAAGTGACTAATTGGATGGCCTTGTCTAAAGATCCATGTGCATATATGCATGGAGACAAAGAGTTTAGCAATTACAAACAAAAACAAAATGTACCATGTGGACCAGAATTGGCCGAGGCACGCTGAAATTTCATATCAGACGGACCTCTGTGCCTTTCATCTCCAGACAGTGGAGAGAAAGGAGAGAAGGGACTCCGGGGAGTTGAATCACGGGGAGTTGAACCACGTGGTGTTGAAACTCCATAAGGGCTGCCTGATTGATCGGCGTTAGGATTCATCATTGATCACCGCCAGTTTGCATCAATACAGAAACCAGACTTATGAAAGCACTTGATAAAGGAAGAACTCCTTCATTCTCTATCGACAAATCCTGTAGCACAATTGTTTTAAACATTGAGAATTAGACCTATCCATTAACGAAAAAACACACACAACACAACCCAGGAGCAGGCTAGAAGAAAATTCCTGGAAGCTTAGAATCTTGTCTTTTTCCCCGAATACAAGACAGGTAAAAACATTTTTGAGTGAACCATAATCTCGGAAGCATCATTCTTCCAACTCCATGCCTATAAAAGCTCCAAATTTCTTTCCCCAAAGACAGTGAAGTTAGTAACATTCAATCCTTTTTCTGTAATTACACCCGAATCTCGGTGCCCCTCCATAACCAGAAAATGATGCCTATGCTTAATCTCTGAATCAAACCGCAGTTTTCTTTCTTCATTGCCTGTGGACTTCCCACGATATCTAATACGGTTTGTTGAGCTTTGATCATTAGTAAAAGAACAACAAAGATCTTCCCAGAAAACATATGGAATGAGGATTCAAACAAAAATCAACCAAGGGCACGATCAAACAACGTAACACTCACAACAATGACAATGCAAACAAGCTGGAGAAAACGACGTAGGTGTAAGAACGAAGATCGAGACATGGAGACGACATTGAATTCGGAAAACGAAGTCAAACATTGTAGAAGACGCGATCAACGAGACGGATTCATGAAAATGAGGAAGAAGAGGTTGAGGTTTTATCCTTACCTGGAAAATTTCGGAGGAGAATTTCCTCGGGAAAATGGAGGAGAAGGTCCAACGTGGGAGAAAGAACAGAGGGAATGGAGAAAGAGACGTGAAGGAATGTGGGTTGATTTTTTTGATTAATTAGTAATTAAAAGTAATTAAACTCACGATGATTATGATTAGCAAACTCGATTAAACAAAACATAATTAAAAAATATATTTTTTTGTTTGGCCTTTGATCTTCTTCGTTGAGGACTGAGGGAGCGCGAATGTAGGAGGAGAGCGAGCGCCTCCGCTTCTCCAGTCGTTTTTACGGGCTTTTGACACGTGTCCATATTATTATAGCTAATTTTGGAACAAATCAAAACAAATATATAAACGTAGATATTGACAACTGAATAGTAATATGATTTTTGGCAGGGGTCTACCACGAACCGCTCATCGCGGGTTGGCTCATGCATCGATCCATATTTTTTTGAATCGGATGAAAATATTTGATTCCAAAAAAATCGGATCAAACGAGTCTAACCGTCACGAATTGAGTTCGTAGTGAACCAGTTCGTCATGAGTCGGACGGACTCAAGGGTCAGAATTTTATTTTAAAATAATTTTATATACAAATTATATTTTTATTTGATATTTAGTTTATTTTTATTTAAAATTTTATTTTTTTATTATATATTAAATATTTTGAAATATTAAAATTAATTTTAAATATTTTTTAGTATTAAAATTTTATTTTTAAAATTTATATATTTAATTCGTAGACTGTCTCACTTGTCTCGCAGGTTAAGATGATATGGGTTGTACTGATATATTTTTTGTTTGCTAAAAAATGGGTCGGATTAGGGTGGACTAAAATTTTCTAGATCATCACGAGTCGGGCTAGGTTGGGTCGAGTCGGTCCGTTTTATACCACTAATTTTTAGTATGGATGGCGTCAATTTAGATTTGAAATTCGAAATTCGACAAAAACTCATTCGAAAAATATTGGATTTCGAATTTAATTTTTTCATTTTTTCGGTTCGAAAATTTTGACTTATTAGAAAAGATTCGAAATCGAATTTTGTATCGATCCAACTCAAAATCCAAATTTATAAGACCTAATTTCGGGTTTGGTGGTATATGTTTGAAACCTTAGAATCGAGTGCATCCATTCCGATTAACATCTCTATTTTTTTTTATCTTACATAGATATAGATATTTGAGAATCTTATATATTATTTATATCGAAAAAATCGAATAAAAATTGAAATATTTTAAAAATTATTTTTTTAATTGAAAACCGAATACAATGCTAATAAGATAAAATTTGAAGCAAACAAAACTGATATAAAAATAAAACGAATATAGTTTTTATATAAAAATAATCTATCACTAAAATGTTCACACCAAAATATAACCTGAACCATGGTCATCATAAACTTATGGGTTTCAACGCTTAAGGGCGTTTTCGTCTTTTCATCCTCTGAAAAAACAAGATAGCGGATGTATTGTCGAGTCGATGTGGTCAACGACAATGGAAATAGTCAACGCAGTGTATACAAAACGCAGCGTTTGAATAGGTCTAGTGTTTTCTTTTATATTCCTATTCATATAGACATGCACATGGCCCAATTTGGACATTTATGGCCCAATAATAATTGCTAGACCCAACATATAGATATATGACCCAACGATGTCATATGTCCTTTCATCGATTTGCTTCGCCGCGACTTCGTCCGGAAATCTCCCTGGTAAGTACTCTCTCTCTCTCTCGCTCTCTCTCTCTCTCTCTCTCTCTCACTGTTCTCTTGTCTCGACTTCTAGGTTTCGATTTCATCGGATCTTTTTATTTGGGTTTTTTATTTTCATCTTGTTGCGGCCTGGGTGGTGGTTATTAGGGCTGGGCATTTTTATTCGAGACCTGCGGGTTTTCGGATATCCTGTCTCACGGGTACTCGGAATTCATTACTCGCGAGATAACGAGACAGAGAACGAGTTTCGTGAGACGAAAAACCCGAATCTCGGGTTCGGGTTCGAGCATTATGACCCGATAAAAAATTAAAATTACAAAAATAACCTTAATATTTAATATATTTACAAAAATACCCCTAACCCTAATTTACCGTAACTCTCTCATCTCTCTCTCACGAATCGAAGCCTGCCTTGCGTCCTTGCCTCCTGCCTCCTCTTCGAGTCTTCAGTCTTCAGAACAGATCTCTCACTCTCGGTCTCTCTCCGTCTCTGCTGTCACCTCGCGGCTCTGTCTCCGCCGTTCGCCTCTGTCTCCGCCGTCGTTCGCCTCTGTCTCCGCCGTCGTTCGCCTCTGTCTCCGCCGCCATTCGCCTCTGTCTCACTCGCTCTCGGACTCTCTCCGTCTTTCGCTTCTCCGTCGGTCTGCTCTTGCTCTGCTCTGTCGTTTCTCCGCCGTCGTTCATCTGTCTCCGCCATCGTTCGGCTCTGTCTCCGCCGTCGTTCGGCTGCCTCGCCTCTCGGTCTGTCTCCGTCTTTCGCTTCTCCGGCGTTCGGCTCTACTCGGTCTCCAGTTCCTCTCCGGCATCTCAGCATCAAGGTGACATAAAGAGTTTAAACAGATGATTAATCTGAGTTTTGATACTTTTAATTTGAGTTTTCTGGTAATTAGGTTAATATAAGGATTTGAGAATAAAGAGTTTTGATACTTTTAATTGATAGTTAGAATCCTTTGATGCGAATTTAAACAGTGGGGTATTCTATCTGCATTGTCTGTGTATGGAGGTTCTGTTCTTTGGTTCATTGAGATTGAAGTTAACATGTTATTGTTCCAAATTGTTTCTGATAGTTTCCCACATGGTTAACATTTTGTTCTGATGGACAAATGCGATTCATAGTTCGACATCTTACATGATGTCTTTTATGTGTTGAAATTGGTTCCATGCTTTTTTTAATCATCTCTGTTGAATCTCTATTCACAAACTGGACTGCTTTTTTCATCTGAAACACACAATATCTTTGTTGTTTTAGATTATACATGGATAGTGTTCATTTTAAAACGCTATTCCTTCACTTCTATGGTGTGGAGTTAATTGTTACATTGAGAAACATGGATTCTGCTGAGGTGTATCTTTGGGCCAAGTCGGTTTAGAGTTTTTCCAAATTTCTTTGTTAAACCCGTTGTACTTCTCGATTGCTTGCTTGCGTGCATTGGTGATGGTGATTAGGGCTGGGCATTTTTACCCGAGACCCGCGGGTGTCCGGGTACTCTGTCTCACGGGTACCCAGGATTCGATACTCGTGAGACAATGAGATAGAGAACGAGTTCCGTGAGACGAAAAACCCAAGTTTCGGGTTCGGGTTCGGGTTCGGGTTCGAGTTCAAAAATATTGTGACGGGTTATCTCACGGGTACCCGGCAAGAAAAATAAAATTACAAAACTACCCTTAATATTTAATATATTTACAAAAATACCCTTAAACCTAATTCACCCTAAGTCTCTCTCTCATGAATCGTGGCCTCCTCCTCTTCTTCACCCTTCAGAACAGCTCTCCTCTTCAGAACAGCTCTCTCGCCTCTCGGTCTCTCTCCGTCTTTCGCTTCTCCGTTGTTCGCCTGTGCTGTCTCTGTCGTTCGGCTCTTCTCCGTCGTTTCTTCGTCTCCGTCGTTTGGATCTCCTCCGTCTTTCGCGTCTCCTCCGTCTCCGCCATCGTTTGCTTCTCCCCCGGTTCCTCTCCCGCATCTCTGCATTAAGGACACTCCCATTGTGAGTTCTTCTCTCCTATACCATCTTCTCTTTCTTTGATTCTTCTGCCTTACTAAATCTGTTTAGGTTTCGAGCTTAGAAATCTCAGTCCTTAATCTCTCCTAAGTTCCAGATCTCATCTATTCTTAATGATTCGATTTCGATTTCGATCTCCGTTTCGTGCAAACATAATTTCTTTACATGTGATATACTTATGTGGTTTTCATTAGTTTCTTATATTTCATGGTTAGGATCAAGAAAATGTCTTTGTTTAGAACTTCGTTTTTTCAATACATAAGGTGTGTGCGAGCTCCAGTCTGCGTGTTCAGTCTCTGTATTTTTTTATGATTTTTTTGTTGCTATTATTGGTCTGTGGTTTCTAACACTTGTAACTTTATCCTGGTTTCTTTTTTCTATTAGAATGGCGGAATCTAGTGAAACTCAAACGTCTCGGCAAGAATCTCAACCTGCTGAGCAAGAGTCTCAACCCCAACAAGGTAGAGAGCTTACCTTCTTTTCTTTCTCTCGCCCTTTGTTACTGTAAAACTATGGTTCTGTTTGAGATCTTTCATGGCTTAATCTGAGACATAGCATTGGTGTTTTTTCTCTATGTTGTTTAATTCAGTGTGCAGTTTCTTTAGAAAGCCATCAAAAGCTAAAAACATAAGGAAACGAACAATTGATGCCGACGAAGATGAAGATTCAAAAAGTGGAAGCTCTTTGTTGAACAATCTCAAGAAGGCCCAAAAGACAGACAGCAAGTTATACTTCTCTTCTGGACCCTCCAAGAGCACTGCAACCACCGACGAAGCTCCTGAGAGGACGGTCTTTCACTACGAATCATCCAAGGAAATTCAGGTTCAAAACGACAGTAAAGCAACGGCCACTCTAGAAACCGAAACTGAATTTACCAGAGATGCACGAGCTATCCGTGAGAGAGTCCTTAAGAGAGCAGAGGAGGCTTTGAAGGGGAACAAAAAGAACCCGGATGAAAAGTTGTACACGGGAATACACGGGTATACTGATCACAAGGCCGGGTTTAGAAGAGAGCAAACAATCTCGAGCGAGAAGGCTGGAGGATCACATGGGCCACTTAGAGCATCTGCTCATATCAGGGTCTCGGCTAGGTTTGATTACCAGCCAGACATATGCAAGGATTACAAAGAGACAGGGTATTGCGGGTATGGAGACTCGTGCAAGTTCATGCACGACCGTGGAGATTACAAGCCGGGATGGCAAATAGAGAAAGAATATGAAGAAGCAGAGAAGGCGAGGAAGAGAAATCTGGCTATGGGGATCGAGGATGATGATGAAGAAGATGAAGATGATGATGACGACGAAGATGATGGTGAGTTGCCTTTCGCGTGTTTCATTTGCAGACAGCCTTTTGTAGATCCTGTCGTGACAAAGTGCAAGCATTACTTCTGCGAGCATTGCGCATTGAAGCACCATGCCAAGAACAAGAAATGTTTCGTGTGTAACCAGCCGACACAGGGCATTTTCAACACAGCTCATGAGATCAAGAAGAAGATGGCCGAAGACCAGCGCAGTAAAGGCTTGTGATCTCTCTAGGAGGAATGTGCTTCGTCTTTTGTCTCTTGTCTTTTTGTATTTGTAGTTCTCACACTTCAGTTTTGTGTCTACATTAATTATGTAAGGTAGGAAGGGTTCTAACTTGTTAGATTCGAGGTATTACCGATTCAGTATGATTACAAATTTACAAAATAATAATCGATCAATCTCCAAATTAAAATGAAGAAGTTAAATACACGTCACATTTTCTCAATAATCAAATAAACCGGGTCGGGTATTACACGACCCGAATGTAAACTCGGATCCTTCTTATCTCCCGCTCGTTCCCTTCCCCCTCTCCCTCCCATCCACACAGTGAATCCACCAGATGGCGCTCACCGTGAGCAGCGGCGGCAT